AAAAATCAATTGTAAGAGTAATAAAAATAAATAGCAGCGCTGTGAAATCTGCATTGGCAGATCTGAAAGGCCCCGGGACACATAGGGATAGATAAAAATCACTGAAGTGCTGTCTGGGATCTTAGAAATGCCAAAAATGCATTTGAAACCGGATCAGCTGCAAATATTCTGGTGTGGGTGCACCCAAAGGTGGAGGGAATTCTCAGAGGGAAGCAACAAGTAGGGATTTTGGCCTGTTCCATGGTTCTGCCATATATCTTCCATAACCTTGGGCAAGCTGCTTAATTGCTCCGTGCCTCAACCTTGCACAGTAAAACAGCGTCAGCACTAAATGCAACGAGGATTCTGAAGTCGTTTCACCCACATTTCACCCATAACTGAGCCTACAATTTCTGCTATTTGTCTTTTAAATGGCCACACAGCTTCGCCTGGTGCTGCCTTTTATGTGAAAGCATCTTTGTGCAACACCTCATGCAGCAGACATTGAGACACAGCTGTAGGACAGCTAATCACACATTTTGCAGCAGCCATAAAACAATGGGAGCCATAATTTCTTTGAACTCTGGGTCAAACTTCTTGTTAGCCAAGCCTGTAAGATCTCATACAGTAAATTATATACGTCTCTTTACCAGCAGGATCGTAAAATAAAACTTTACGATCCTTCCGAAGGTCACGGCTCTGCAACAAACTATATGATAAAACAATAAATTCACCCCTGAGCCCACCATTTTATGGCTTCCGTAGCTTTGCTTAGATCTGAGGAAACTGAGACTTTGACAATCTTCATACAAAATGTTACTTCTCCTTTGGACCCATCTCCCCCTAAGCGTGAGACAGAGGCTGAAACAACAGCACTAACGAGCGGCGCTGCATCCAGCAGCAAAGTCTCATTTATCTCTATACACACATTTAATCGGAACAATGACCAAAGTGTTTCTTGGCAAATTAGTCCCCTTCTTCCCTTTCAGAAAAACACAACTATAAGCTATTTCCAAAACAACCAATATTAGTCCAGCAAACAAAACTGTCCGTTACGTTTCCCATCAAATTCCTGGCATTTCCTCAAGGGATGCTCTATAATTTAGATCTACTACCAAATGAACTGGAAAGGACTGCTGAGCTGAGCACCTTGATGTTTCTCCCTTGTGTCTGAGGGCTTCAATGCAGGTAAGCCAGCTAGAAACCCTGTACCAGTCTGCTGACTGAACATTTGGCCCAGGGATGGACTTTTATTTCTGCGATTGTATTGAAGGTGGTACAACAGTCCAAGATTCCACACTGCCTGAGTAACACAACATAAATCATACAGGAGAGAACAGCCATCCTTTAAACGTTTCTCTGAGTTTACAGGGTCACTGTTTTATTCCCAGGGCTGCTGCCCTCCCATCGTTCTGTCCTAATGCTACAAACCCAGAGATGCAGCCGTTGATGACAGCGATTCTTTCCTCTGAAATCCAAAGTGAGGACAAAGCTGAAAAGAGACAGTGCTGGTCACCAAGGAAGGGAAATGTCAAAAAAAACCCAAAACTTACCCAAAGTACCATGATGGTTACCTGGCCTTGAGAGTGGACTGCTTACAGCACTAAAAATACCCCTATGTGAGCTATTGTGCTCCCGTGTGCAAAGAATAACAGCTTTTTGTTTAAAGAAGTTTTTATCCGGCTTCAACTCTTGCCAGACTGTAGATTCTAAGCAAAGATGAAGCAAGGAAATGGCTTAAATCTAAAAAACTCTGTTTCCCTGCCTGCATCTCCAAGAGGAACGACCTCCCCATCCTCCTGATTAACTTCCTTTTCATTCTGGAGAGAAGACTCGAAGGAAATACATGACATTCCACATGGAAATCCCAGAGAACACACATTGCATTCCTTAGCAATACCAGCCAATGCTATTTATACGTAACTCGAGGTGAAGTATGCCAGACTTGAGGGAACGAGTGGCTCCCACCCTTGCTGGGTACCCATTAAACAAGCTTCTTACAAGAACACCCACTGGGGTGTTAAGCCTAAAAGGTATCATTGCACACAGGTCTTAGGCTCTACCTTCTCTGTCTCCCCTCTAGGCAAAATGGTGCACATTGCAGGCTGCTTCCAAGCCTGCACAATCCTTTTTTCCCCCCTTTTTGAGCCTGACCAATCAGCTCTGGTGGGGACAACCCTGCTCTCCTGCCATTCTGCCAAACTGGAATGAGTTCTGCACCTGGGATGAGCTTTTTGATCCAAGGGCAATGCCCACCAGGTCAGCTCTGCCAACTCACCAAGAGCCTTGAATCAAACAGAAGCACACGCACACAACCAGGGAAGCTGCTCGTCTTGGACACATAGTTGCAATCACAAGAATCACCATCCACACTTCACTCTTGCTATGCTTCTCTTCAAGTTCTGCCTTTCTGCGAGGGCTACAAACCAGGACAAAAACAACAACAACAACAAAAAACAAACCCCCCTGACATCACTTCACATGCTTACCAATCAACAGAATGAAAGGTTCAACCTTGATCTGTCCTGTAACAACCTCTTTCAAGACAAAGAACGAAGGGTGGATCACATCAGTCTTCAGTTCTCACAAGCTGTCAGCTCATATAAGGCCTCGATAACCACTCCACAAGCCTATTTAAAACACTCCTTCCATCCCTGCCCTGACTTGTGCATCGTCCCACATCACCTTCTGACTTACTGGCACCTTCCATTGTCTTCTTTTCTACACCTTGTTTTTCATCTGTCGCTCATTAGCCCCACCCTGCCCATCAGATCTGGCATTTCGCTGCCTGATCACCCACCTCCTGCTGACAACAGCCTGCTGATGCCAAAATCAACACTGCCACCCTGCAGCTGCTGCGGGGACAAATGCTGAGTGGACAGGAGATGGTTTTGCTGTCAGCATGTGAGCTTCTGGTTCAAACACTCGTTTATGGCGACTGTGACAGACTCAAGGACTAAAGATCTCAATGGGCACACTTGCTGATTGCATGTTATTTAGGCACATCATATTGGATGGGGCTATTGCCACATGTACTCTTTCTGTATCTTTCTGCTGCCAGTGTTCCAGCGATGGCATTTAAGATAACTCATTAAAGGAGGAGATAGTTCGAATGCATGGAGATATTTGGGCGCCCTATGTAGGAAGTGGTGGTTTCAAAGGAAAGGCAGGTGCTGGAACCCACTCATGGAATCACAGTTAACAACTCTAAGGATTCTGTGATGATTCTGTGAACTGAGGCAGCACCAGGAGATACAAACCAGCAAGTGCACAGTTAACGCCTGCCTAACCAAAAAGAAAGATGACAACAATCTTGATATGCAGGAGATGTCCCAGCGCATGCACCAAGCACCCCAAAGCAATGACCTTGTGGTGTATGATCGTGATAACGAAGAGTCCCAGCCATGAACCAAACCAAAACGTGGCAGGTGCCACATAACATAAACATGTATTTTTAGATACTGCAGGTGCAGCATTACAGAGCCCTACTGCAGAGAAAATGTGCCTGCAACGTTACCAGCGCAATGCTATTTGATTACTATCTTTAAATCTCTTTCATTTGCTTGGAGGAAAAGTCTTTGGGCTGTTCTGCAGCCACTTCACGTTCAGTGTGCCAGTTTACATGGGGTTCATTAGCAATAAGGCTGTTACCTTGCTTTTTCTCTTTATATAAATTGTTTTTACTGCAGACATCTTGGACTACAGAGTAGTAAGCGCTATGCAAATGACAATTTGCTGGATTGTGATAATTTAGAAGGGAAAAGGAATGCTGGAAACCCTCAGTCCAAGTCCCAAATAAACCACTGGTTTCCAATTGCCTTGGGCAAGTCACTTGATCTGCCCTTAATCCTGTTTTCAAAACAGAAATGAATATTTCTTTACCTGGCAGGGAGGCTGAGAGCACAAACCCATTAAAGACTGCATGGAGTTCAGATCCTACAGAGATAAGCAATTACTTAATACACATGCAATGGCTGGCAGTGGATGGTGGTTGTTTCAAAATACACACAAAACTGTTTGGGCCAGATGAACACATCACATATTTATATTTAACACCAAAAAAAAAAAGCAAAGCAACAAGGACGAACACCAGAAAGCTGCACGTTGCTTTCAGAGACAGGGATGTGACTGAACGTTTCTGCTATGAAAATGTGGTTGTTTGAGCACACAAAACAGGTATCTCCTGCAGAAGCTGTGTAAGCAATTTGTGTATATGCAGAAAGAAACATCTACTGCAGACCGGAGGAAACGCTATGATGCCGAGTGCCACGGTTTTATAACAATATAAGGAAGCATGAAGAGTTACAAAACAACCCAGTGTACGTCTTTATTGATGATTCACAAAATCAAACATCGTTCACCTAATTCACTCCAGCAGCTCCAGGATGACATTTCTCCTTGCTAGGTTTGGCTGATTTTTCCAACGTAAACAATATTTGCTTTTAACTCAGGGTGGGGAGAACCACGCTTTAGACAGTTGTCATTTCGTAAGAGCAAGTACATCACAGCAGGGACAATACTCTGCAATTTTACAATCCTCAACCTTCAAAGCACTGCGCAGGCATTTAATTAAAGCCTACTAAAGCCTCACAACAGACCTGGCTCTCAGTCCATTTCAGGTCACACCTCCTTATTAATATTTCACATCAAACCCCCACTACCTCTGTACAACACTTATTCGGGACTCCCATCGTTTGTGCTCATGGGATTCTTAACTCATTGGTTAAGTGGGATTTATTAATGCTCCCAAAATGCACCAAAGATGTGAACTGCTATCACATTAACTGCAAGCATGCTTCTATTATCTCACAAGAACATATATTATTTTCAGTAAGGCAGCATCCAATTTACTGAGAGCTTCCCCAATACAACGTTTCTCTCAATTTTCCTCTACAATGCACTCAGTCATACTCCAATATTATATACACGTGGTCACACGGGCTGTTTTCACACTGCTGAGCTACAGCAGACAGGAGTGAGGAAATCTGGGGAAAGGAATAACATCTTTGATATTGTCAACACCCAGGATGTACTGCAGGTAGCGTTCAAACCCCATCCCGAAGCCTCCATGAGGAACAGAGCCAAATTTTCGCAGGTCTAGGTACCTGTAATTTAAACAGACAGTTACATTTGCAGCACATTTATGCTGATGTAATTAGAGAGAGCTTTTTATCCGGCGTTTCGCTTTCCATCTTAATTACATCCCTTTGACCCTAACCACTGTGGATTCCTGCCAACACAGCCAGCATTGAAGAGGGGCACGAAGCGGTGGGGCTCCCTGACAGGCAGAACTGTATTAGCAAGAAGCCCCAGGTGCAAATGTAAACCAGCAGTGCTGTGCCTTGCCAATATGCTACAGCCTGCTTTGTTTAGGAGCAAGAACTCATTTGGGTACAAAGTACAACTTTAACATCAATGGCTCTACATGCACTGAGAGCACCAAAGTTTTTAAATATATCCCTAATAGAAGCACAAGCCCAGGTTCCTACAGCAACACAAAACATTCCCACTGTCAGAGTCCCCTGCTTGGGTTTGTTCAGCTCTTGCCAGGCTGAAATCTGCCCTACCATAAATTTTCATCTTCTGTCCAGTCATCTTTTCAATAGGCCGAGTCATTTCATTTCCAGTAATTCCTTAAGAAGTCAATTTCTTGGCTCAAATACATCTTCTTGTCTGCTGAAGATTCCTCCTGAGTCTTATTTTTCTCTTAGGGTAATTATAATGGCTTTTTGGTCACCTTTTCCCCCCTTCCCAGCCCCCCCGAATCATTTTCACAGACTGATTTATTCACTCCCACAGCAAGTCAGCAAAAAATCCTGTACATTGCTTCTCCAAAAATGAGATCTGCAACAAGACATCGCAGTTTGGAGAACGGTACCTGTTGTGTACAGAAAAGCCAGCTGCCTGGTTTGGAGCAGCTATTCCAACTCTGTGGGTGTCAACAACATTAAGATGGCTCAGCTCCCCCTCTCCCCTCCTGATTTCATGTGACATGATATGCAAGGACTGTGTTTACAGATATAAACTGTCACCAACAGTTATGTTTTAATAGGAGTGAAAATCAGCTCAGTGGGTCTGCTCTTTCATGGGGCCACTCCTGAGCCTCCTGAGACCACAAAGTTGTGATGTATGAATGCACTACAAAGGGTCTGTGTGACTGCACATACACTACATGCTTCTCATCCCCATGTATGAGTGTTTCATCAGCCCAGTTTACAAAAAAAGCAACTAAACCTCAATGCAAATACAAAATCATGCTGAAATATATATGTGAAAGCATATAGATATCAATGCATATAAAGACACATCTTGAACTATACACTTGTTCACACAGTTTGACAGTATACCTTTTGTACTATACCACTTTTTTTCTTGTGGTTCATTAACAAGAGTTGAAATTTGGGAAGCCACGTATTACAAACAGTACAATGTTTTGGGGTTTTTTCTTCTTCTTTTTTTTTTTTTTGTTTTTCCTCAAGAGATTTTCTTCCTCCACTCCACTGCCTAACAAGTAAAATCAAAAGCAGAACTTCTTACCTCTTCCTAGCACTGAGTTTCCACTTACATACTGGGAACTGCCTCCAGAAAACCCTGCTTGGCAGCTTTGCGAAGAAGATGATGAGCAAATCTAATGCTGAGGGTGGTGACTTGTAAAATATAAAGGGCCTCATAAAGCTGAGGGATGTGGGTGATATGGGTGCTGCCCGTGGCAGGTTAACCTGCACCGACTCAGCAGTTCTGAGAAGAATTGGCAAACCAGCTGGTGGCAACTCTAGCAGCAACTGGGAGTTGAAATAACAGCACAGATATTGCAGGTGACGTCAGTCAGACTCTGCCTAGCACTTTCATTCCTCTTTGGTGGCAATGCAGTTTATAAAGTCATCATAAAAATTAAGTAACTCTGCTCCTTCCAGATGGACAATAATAATAAATTCTACCCTTGCTTATCCAAGGCTTTCATCTATGGATCTCAGAGCACTCTGAGAAGCCATTCTGGCAAAAGAACCAAAACAAAGCCCATTAAAGTTAATAGAAAAAGTCCATTGAATTAAACGTGCTGAGGATCAAGCCTGTGAATCCTTCCTGATGTCTGCACTTAGAAAAAGTGAAGGAATTGAGAAATTTTCCGTTCTTCTCAGATGAAAGAAAGAATAACTTCCTGCATATTAACAGAAAAATCCCTTCAGGCTGGAAAATGTTTCCTGAGGTTTCCTTCACTCAATAATCTCCACACATTGTATGTTTCTCACCTCGGAAAACACTCTCAAACTAGTCTAGCTATTTCTCCCAGCAGCTTGTGCTTCAGAGGACGGCTGAGACTTCCATTGGCAACTGAGGGAATGTGCAACGTTATTCCAATGGGGGAAGTAAGTTTCCATGACCCCTGCTATCTTCATTGTTCATGTTCTGGACTTGGAGGACTGGTAGTTCTGAGATTTGAATCTTACTAAAATATGTGCTGCAACAACATCCCCTGGCAGTGAATTCCATGAGCTTGTTACGTGCCAAGTTAGAAAAGCATTTCCTTTCATCCTTTTCAAAACCTATATCCTTGTGTCACCATCACCAAATCCTGTGATGCACAGCAAGGCACTGTGAAGATCAGTGCATTCTCAGTGATTGTTTGTAAAACAGAACATATGCTTTTTAGTCTCCTTTCAAAACAAATATAATCTTGATCTGTCATATAACCATCTTGTAATACTGAAGCCTCTGCTGCCAGTCAGAAAAAAGTAAGGCTGGGAGAACAAAGACACTGTCATCCCCAGAGCTGAATATTTTACTGGAAGAAAAGAAATATACTAGGGAAAAAATATGGCTAACAAAAAACTAGCAGTGAAATGGGTTAGCATATGAAGGATCAGTTTTATTGAATGTTTTAGGAAATACACATGCAAGCACCACTAGTGAGGCACTGGAACTGCTTGTCCAGAGATGTGGTGAATCCCCATCCTTGGAGACACACAAGATCAGTCTGTAACAGGCTCTGTGGAAATGACTGAGCTGTAGGTGTCCCCTGTTCTCTACAGGGAGTTGGACTAGATGACCTTTAAAGGTCCCTTCCAACTCAAACAATTCCATGATTCTGGGTTCTAATGCTGGGTAAAATGCTATCTTTGGTATCATGCAAATTCTGCTCTGCTACAATGTTTTGGTAATCCACAAAAGAAGGCATTCAGAGTGTTCAGTGGAAACCACTGATATGAGCTGGATTTACAGTCCATTTATAACACAATATATTCAGTACCCCACGGTCACAGAATTCACAGTCTGCCCTCTGGAGCTAACAGCCTACACTGGCAGAGAACAGCAGGAAAGAGGCACAAAGGCAGCAAGTGACTTCCCAGAGTAAACTCTGATCTCCTGACTTTCCCACCTCAATTTCATAGATGTCTCTCAGTCTAGCCAAAATCAGCATCTACAGCACTGAGCTCTGTCTACAGTTCAAAGGAAGGAGTGTGAAAATAAGATAAAATTACTCCAAAGTCAAGCCAAGTACTTCCCCACCTCTTACTATTTATGGAAAGGAACCTGCACAACAGGAAAGCTGTATTGAACTGAAGAAGACTGAGAGGAGGTTGGCCATATTCCTTTGTTTACAGATTGTTGGTTGCCTCTTTGATCAATGACTCCTCCACAAGTAAGGAACTCTTCAAGCCATTGAAGAAACAGTGTGTCCCAAAACACAGAAGAAAACAACTAGAATTGGAGATAGGGCATTATCTAAGGGATTTCAAAAGGGACATCTCATATAGCTGTCCATTCAAAAGTTAGCAAATATACTTCAAAAGAAATGACTCAGCTGTTCTCCAAAGAGTTTGTGTGCCAGCTTTGGAGACTAAATTCATTCATTAAAATGGAGGAGATTAATTTCAGTCTCTCCTGCCACCTCCTCTGAGAAGGATGCTGGCAACATAACTACCTCTTCACTGGCAGAATCTGGACTGGATTCCAGAAGTTACCTGGGATATTCTAATCCTGCAGCTTCCCAGCACATCAAATTGTGCAAGGGGCAAAAACAGTTTCAGTCTCCTATGGGAAGCTGCATCACTTCAGTGGAATGGAGGAAAAAGGGGAGAAGAGAGTCTCCCAAATGAGACTACAGGACAGCTACATATGACATGAAACCGAAAATGGGTGATGGGCAGTGTTTCTCATGGGGGGCATAAGGCAGGGCTGAGCTATTTTAGCAATGCTGAAAGGCTCCCTGCTACTGAGCATCAGACTTCCTAAGGCTATATCTCAACATCTAACCATACACCTGATCAGCCTTGGTCATGCTTTCCTCTCCAGAAGACCCAATATTTAATTATCTATGTAAGGGCTGCTGACTATGCTCACCTAGGATATCAGGTGCTGGTCAGAGTTAGGAGTAAAAACAACCATCACAAGTACCACAAAGGGCCCTGGGATTCTTCTGAGTATTCCACATAAGCTTCAAAGGGACAACTAAGAAACAGAGTAGGCTAAAAAGGTTCAACTCGACTGCTACTCCCTTACACAGGCTGCTTGGTCTATAAGATACACTGGGCATGTTAACAGCTTTCTACCAGCAGCTTTACCTGGGAACACAGACAGTTAACCTGTATGCCTGTCTAAAAATATTTCCTATAAGCAGAAGCTACAGGCTCAGAGAAATTACAGAAAGAAATTCTGACCCTCTGCTTTGGGTTAGATGAAGTGATACAGTGCATTCTGACTCATAAATGCAAATAATAATGGAAGACATTTCATTCACCTTGTTTGCAAATGGATGATATAAAGAACTGCCAGGCACTGGCCTGTTTCAAAGTGAGTTCATACTCAGGGGAGAGTGTAAGAATCCTGCACTACCACTGCATTCTTCAAGGCAGTCTCCCTAATGGCCAATCCAAATACTAAAGAGCATTTGAATACACTCTTCTAAATTTAAAATTCTCCACACTATCAACCTCTCAGTAGCTTTGACAAAGCACATACCAAGAAACACTTGTCAAGAGGAGCACTAAAATCTTGTCATTTTAATGGGCTAAATCGTTAATTCAAAGGTTGTTCTGTCTCCTTAGCAGGACAGTTTTAATTGCTTCAACAGCTTTGTTAGGGAAGATTTTTCAACCCAGTTGCTCTGTCAATTGCAAAGGGAGTCATTCACAGAGCTGTTAAAAGGTCACAAATTGCTTGTGGTTCTGCAACCTGTTTATCTCATGCGATGGTGGCCAGAATCTATTCAATTTGGAACACAATTTGATGACTTAGTATCACTGATGAGTTGTAAATTAATCTACTTTATGCAATCCTGAAAGGAATGACCTGTGCTGTCCACAGACAAATTGGGAAGATAAGGTAAGTAGCATTAGATTAACTTTGTTGAAGTGAACTGGCTGTTCCATTGAGACTGGCAGTGATGGCCATGCAGCTGGGCCAAGAAATGTCCCCCTCAAGAACTGCATGAAAAAATGAAACAGTTGTTTAAAGAACCTCAGAAGAAATATAGCTTGCAAAATAAGAAACAGTCTTACCATTGGTAGGCATCTGTGAGTCCTAATCTGTGGAACAAGAAGAAAAAACCTCATAAATAAGGGAACATGGAGCTGCATATGCAGCACTTGCCTGGAAAACAACTAAACTGAGTTGAAAAAGGAAAGGCAGGAAATAAAGGGAAGACAGGATCAATGGCTGTCAGCTCTGGCACTTGGTAGAGAACCTCGAACAGATTCCCAACATGCTTCTCAAAATACAAAGTTTGTTTTGGAAACACACAGCTTCATACCAAGACTTGTGCAAATGCTTCACTTCAGGGAAATCAGTAAAACCCTCTTTCAAAATTTTGGAGAGTGTAGGCCTAAATATTAAACTTACAACATGCAGCAATCTCATTTATGAATGAGGCAAAATCTCCCCATACGTGAAATCTCCCCTTTCTTAGTTCACAAAACCATTAAATGGCCATTTAATAACATACTCAACTATTAAATAAAAGTAGCTTCTGTAAAGCAATTTAATGAAGACATCTTTTCTTAATTGCCACCAGTAGATCCTCCACCCTTTTCCAACCCTAGCAGAAACGGCACAAAGTTGATTTTTTTCTTCCCATTCCTCTCAACACAAACAAAAATTTCTGTAGGCAAAATGAGACCATTTCTCTGATCTCCAGCACACTGCAGCAATCCTTGACCAGAACTTTTAGATTTACTGTAAGAAGCGTGCATAAGGAGACGAGAATCCAGTTATCTCTCTCTTGTTTGTGCTGGGACTGCAGGAAGTAGAATTTAAAGGCATTAACAAAATATTTTGGTTCAGCAGATCAGATCCTGAGGACTGAAAACAGAGAAACACGTGGTGTTATTTTCCCAGTTCATCTTAAGTGCAGAGCTATAGTCTGAGGTCACTGAAGATACATCATTTGTAGCTCAAAACACTTCCTGTGACTTTCCTGTCACACAAAAAAAGTCTGGCTTTGACCTTTACAAAGATCCCTCCTCCAGTCCCACACCTGGAAGGCTGTGGACTCTGGATTCTATGGGTAGAAATGTCAAGTGCACTTTGCTTCAGCTGAAGCATGGTTCTGTCTGGAGAGTTCACAATGAAAGTGACAGCATGCACAGTGAGGCCTTGCAGGGTGTGACACCATCCTACAGCACAAACTGTGAACCAATCTTGCAGTGATTTTAATTGCCCTATCGTTTTTCATTATGCTGAAATGGATTTTGCATTTCTCCACTGATTACATACATCACCGTGACCAACTGGCTGATTCAAGTGATGGATTCATTCCCGATGTATAAATTACGTTACTCTGGGATTAATTCTCCTCCAAAACTGCTTTGTAACAAGTGTACAAATAGCACAAATGGACTCAGATGAGTTACGAAAAGTTATTTTGAAAATTCAGACTGGATCCAGGGAGTAATTGTCTAGATTGTCTCCATCTAGAGATGGAGATTTACCCCATCTCTAAAGTCAATTGCTGTTAACGAAATAACAGCTCCGATGTTCTGACACTGAATTTAGCCTAAAATTACCCTAAGCCTCATGAGTCAGAACAACGCAGTAGGGAAAAAGACTGCCAACGAGGCCATATGACTTCAGTACAAGTCTCAGCTCTTTCCAATGAAGCTTTCCACAAAACTCTTAGCAAGGAACAGTATTCTATGAAATACAGTTACTGAAGTCAACTGTACCACAGCTAGGCAAAGCTTCCCAGCTGCAGTTCCTCCATTGCACAACATGGTAACAAAAGTACGTAAGCTCTGGCTACACAACTTTCACCTTCACAATCAACTCTCAGACACAAAAGCTGTGAAGGAAGGGCTCAAGGATGAAGTGCCTTGATGAGAATCTGTCTCAGACAGTCCCCACAGAGCTAAGGCTGCTCCCCTCCCCTCTTCTGCAGTGAGATGAAGCTGAGTGGCACTTCATATGCCTACAACAGAAGGACAAGACCTCCTCCACTGGTTAGCAATCGCTTACTCAGATAAATAGGTATCTCAAAAGACAACAGACAAACAGTTGCCCTTCCAGTCCTGCCTTGCAGGCACCGAGGGCTGCCTGAACACACTTGTGGCCAGGCTGGTCACCTGGCACCTGCAGGTTTTCTGTACCTCTGTAAGCGTGATTCCAAGAAGGGAAGTCGCTCCTCTCTCAAGCTGCCTCCACACAACTCCCCTATTCCTGGTACTAGAAGATCAACAGCTGCAACCTTAAAAAGGAGAAAACTAATTTAAGTTAGGCCGTACAGTCTATAGCAGAAATACAGCTGGCAGTATTGAAGTTGCATTAGGAACACAGTGCTATCATCTGTGCTATTGGTTTGGGTTGATTTTCTTCCCCGTTTTGTTCTGCAGGGTTACTTTTCTACAGCTCGTCAGATACCGAAATTAAAGCAAGTGAAGCAAGAGCAGTAAATGGCAGTAGAAGTCACACTTTTTAGTAGAAGCACTGATTCAGACTGGTCTCGGTTTAATTGGAAAAATCATACTTTCAAAGCAAAAGACTTGTGGAAGAAGTTTATTTCTAGTGTCCATCTGCTATTTGAGGATTACATGGTAGATGTGGATGACTGGGGAATCATGGGTTGCCTGAACCCATACAATTCTAGGCACTTAACTAGTAGTACAGATACACACTTGGGAAAAAAAAAAACAAACTATGGCAAATATGCCTTAAAGGTTTTAAACAAATACTTCATGCTACCTATCTCCTGTATCTTCCTCCTGCTACTCCTGCTCTGGGATTTCTTCTGTAACAGAAAGAAGACTGGGCAGGATTACCTACATGATGGCCATGTCTTACCTTGGCCTTCAAGACTAGAGGACCAGCAGAAAGCCATCTTTGAGCTGGACAAGATGATCTTTACAGGTCCCTTCCATTCTATGGTTCTACTTACTTTTAAGCTAAGACACACACCTCAATGAAAAGGAGGGGGAAGTGTGACCCATGGACTCACTGTATGTTGAGGTCCATCTTCATTGTCCCGCATGTAGAAAGGTTTGAGGTCGTAGGGGTAGTTAATCACAAATACAGGAACCTCACCACAGTGCTTCACCAGGTACTTCTCATGTTCTGTTTGGAGGTCACAGCCCCACTGTAAAGAGAACAAAAGCAACCTAGTATCTTGCTTTTGTGTACCTCACCTGCAGCAAGACACCAAGCAAAATCCCTGCATAGAGTGGCACACTTTTGACTAACACAAAAACATGAACATTAACTTCTGAGTTCACACAACCTACTGGGAAAATATGCTAAGTACACAATGTTCCACAGGTTTTAGGGCAGAGCAAAGTAATGAAAATAACACGGCTTAACTTCCATGGAACAGGGCCTGATCGTCCTTGCATCAAGCCCAAATATCTGATATCAAAACAGAAAACAATACAAAACCAAAACAAACAAACCAACCACTTGGAGTTCTCACCACATAGCTTCAGGGAAATAGGAACCTATCCAAAATTGGCTTACTCAGCCAGACTGACTTCAGCATTCTCATTTAAAAAAAACTCAGCATCCTATCAAACAATTTTTTATTGGAAGCTTTGGACATTTGCAACGTCCTTTGCTTTTCCTGCTTTCTTCCATGTTATAAATGCTGTGGCTTTTGACTAGAGATCTCCAGCCCACCACAGGATGTGCAAAGTATGCAGAGAGAATGGAAAAGAAGAAGGGAAATACACTGTGCAGGCTCTCCTCATCTGAAAATATGCTGAGTTTGCTGTTTCAGATTTAGATACTACAGATTTGACTGAGGTGGTTCCTTCCAAATCTCTGTTCTTATGTGGTCAGCTGATAAATCTCCTTTGCATCAGAAAAAAACGGTAATGATTTGTGCAACAGCACTGCTAGCATGATTTGTAGCTATATTCACACACAGGATTCAAGGTTTGACACCCACTTGTTCACAGAGACCAGACAGCTACCCAACCAGCTATGAAGATGTCTTCAGGCAGAGGATTATTTTCCTTAACATAGCAGAGTGAGGTTAAGACTAATTGTTACACTGGAGATAAGCAAAACACAAATGCTCTCAACGCTGACATGTATGTTTGAAATTGGGCAAAATACAGTTTGCAGAAAGTCATAATCTAACACTGTTTGTAAGACTATCACATGATTCTCTTTCCCAGATGACAACTAGCCTTTGGAAAGACAAGGGATTCCCTTTACCTACATGTATGATGCATGGTATTTTGATGTGGTTTTGACTTATCAACCCTTGTAAAAGTTTTGGTACTTAAAAAAAGTTTTGGTGCTACCTAAATACAATTCCTTTATTTGAAGACTATTGAAATAAGCTTCTTAAGATGACCATTAATGAAACTAGAACACACTTAGCACTGCTTGCATAAAGAGGGAAAGGTCCCTGAGACCTAAAGTGCTCAGACTGGCTGTGTGCACCAACAGGCATAGGGACAAACACCCAGACAACTACCTACCTCTGGCTTAAAAGTGAAAGTTTGAGAAGCCTGCTTCAAAATTTCCACTGCTTCATTGTAGGAAATTCTGCAAGAGAAAAAAAAAAAGCCTTTGAGATAACTGTGAAAGGAATAACAATTAAATGTTCTGGCCAAGTGTTGCACTGGAAAATTAAGGAAGCATTTCCCCAAGACCATGCCAACGTGTAGTGTGATGTCAGACTTCCCAGTAATGCTGCTTGGAATAGAAACCAAAAACTTACATTTGGTATGGCAAGAACCCTATGTTTTCCTGTGCTTCAGCTACATGCAAAGTGAAAATGCTGAGCTCTCGAAGCACTTCTGCATTGTTGCAACACTGCATTTCAGTCAGAAGGGAGTTTTGCACAGAACCAACCTTATACAAATTGGAGGATTTTTTTAATGCCGTCACTGGCATAGATCCAACACAGCTCCACTGTTCCAGTATTAAGGAAGAATAACAGCCCAGTGTGCAAAGGACTTGCACCTTGAGTGTTTTCATTTCATTTTGCAAATATCACAATATTCATTTGCAGCAATGTTTCCCTACTCCTATGACAGTTCTGAAACCAGAATTCCCACTAATTTTCACCAGAACTGATAAACAGAATCATGCCAACAGAAAAAAATAGGGCAGTTAAAGATACTGCAAGTTTGGTAACTGGAAATCAAGTCTCAATGGCAGATAGTTTTGCTGACAGGTTTTCCACATGCCAAGCAAATGCTGCAGGCAGAAAGGGTAACTTGCTCACAATAATTTCCTCTCTCTTTATTGTTATCCAAACCCAATTATAAACCAAATTAGGTAAAGAACATGAGCTCTTTACATCCAGCTACAAGGATTCACTGACACATGGAAGATTCTGGAGAAAATACATCAGGAATGCACTGCTCTACGTGTTTGGGCAAAGTAAGGCACAGGTTTAACCCACACTTCTGGGATGTGTAAGCTCAGAATGCCTTAGATCTGCCAGTAACGGAAGAGAGGCAGAAATGGAGGGAGAGATGGGCTGACTCAATTTATTTTTCCATGGGAGAAGCTGAGAGTAACTCTGTCCTCCTGGAAATATAAGTTAGGTACAAAGAGAGAAGGATCAAAACGGGGAGAAAGATTCACTTCACAGAAGCCCTCTGTGGTGCCTGTGCAAATAAGATGCACAAGGAGCATCTTTCATGATCTTGATGCAAAAAGAAGCTGAGCTGCTTAACAGGAAAACCAGCACTGGGCTGAGTAACTCTGAAATATTCTGTTGGATGAAGAGAGAGCACCACTATCTGTAGAGACTGGCAAGAGAAGAGGAGAGGAGATATTCTGGTCAGCAAGGAAAGAAACAAAAATCTTTCAGTTCTTTAGGACACAGAAACTGAAAAAATATGAGTTGCACAAGTAATTGGAAATATTTTAAAACCCAATTTGTTTTTCTGTCAAAAAATATTTTTATAAAAAGGGACCTGTTATTCAGAGAGGTGCTGGATTCCTTATCTCTGGAGACACTCGAGGTCCGACTGGATGGGGCTCTGAGCATTTGATCAAACTGGAGATGTCCCTGTTCACTGCAAGGGAGTTGGGTTGGATGGCCTTTAAAAGTCCATTCCAACTCAAATGATTTTATGATTGTATGAAAATGTGAGGGAAAACAGAGCAAGCACCAAAGCTGAAACAGAGGAGAGCGAAACCAACTCATCAGGTGCATGCTGGAAAAAGGATGCCTTGGTAGAAAGACGATCCTGTCTAGGTAAGCAAAAGTGAAAGGACAGTAGATTCGATGCCAGTCTCATGCAGGAGTGAAAGGGCAGCTAGGGAACAGAACAAAGGAAATTTAAGTTCATGCTCTTTAGGTGACATCATATTAATTCAGAAGTATTGAGTTGGGGGGAAAAAAAATATATATATATATACAAAATAGGAATGCTTTTCCCAAAAGGCCTCCCTCCTCCAATTCATTTTGAAATTAAAATACTCACATTACAAATTTGTTCTTCAGCATTTGTTCCAACCTGCCCTTGTTCAAAACAAGAAAAACAAAATGGTAAAGCTACTCCTAAGAGTTCACAGGTCCAGAATAAAGACAAAAGTTACCGCCCCTCCCCCCTCCAAGTTCCCATTTACAGATCTGTGTTGTGCTCTAAATATATGTGAAAATCCACTTCATGTCATTCTGTACTAAAAGATGATGTGACAACTAAAGCTCTACCACAAATGCCAACACCTACAGAAAGTTGTGAGTCCTCCCTGTGTTGGTCTGAAAAATAACTTAAGGTCAGGCTTAAGGTTCCTAAGGTTTTAAACTGAGACAGGGGAGGTTTAGGTTAGATTTTAGGAGGAAGTTTTTCACACAGAGGGTGGTGAAGCACTGGAACAGGTTGCCCAAGGAGGCTGTGGATGCCCCATCCCTGCAGGCATTCAAGGCCAGGCTGGATGTGGCTCTGGGCAGCCTGGGCTGCTGGTTGGTGACCCTGCACATAGCAGGGGCTGGAACTGGATGAGCATTGCGGTCCTTTTCAACCTAGGCCATTCTATGATTCTATGATTAACAGGAGAACACAATAAGATCAAGCCTCTCTATTGTCAAGAGCCCCCCCAAATGCATAAAAGTGTTGCAGCTGTTTCCTGTCACATTTATTACCTTCTGTGCAGGAGCTACATATTTATGAAAAAGCTCAACATCACGAGGGCATTTGGAGAACACAGTGCTTGTTGCTGTCTTGAAAAGATGTTCCATAACCTAAAAGAGAAAACAGAAGTGCATGGAAAATTAACACTGCTTAGACGTCCAGGACTATAAATAAAACACAGTACACATCAACCAAAGGGTACAAAAGGAGCTTTTGCATGGTCAGACTGCATAAGAGAGTACCAGCTTGCTAATGCTCCTAATTAGCAGGCTTGCTCACTGGCTGAAGTGGATTAGAACTTGCTTTTCTGCTACAGGTTTTGAGTCTCAGTGTCTGCTGATGGCCTTAGTATCTTCAGTCAACTATTTCCAGTGGAAAAAAAAACAAGAACCAAACACTAAAATATACAACGAGCAGCCCAGGTCAGCCACAAATGAACACAATACAACCATTTGTGGTGACTGGTCTCAGATAAATCACTAGTGAGATGCCTTTCCTGTAATGAGCAATTCTGTCCTTCTGCTTTATTGTCACAACAGATAGAAGTAAAGGAGAAGACAATAAATGCACACTGTGTGGAATCAGACTATTCAACAAATTCCAGTTAGAGAGACCCGGCACAGTAACTCAAAGAGAACATCTGTAGAGATGAGCAGTGAGCTAAAGCTGAGTACACATCAATTCAGAGATGCCTGAGAGACAAAAAAACGACCTGCTTTGATTCCCCTAAACTACTGTGGATAATCTAAACAACACTGATATACTTACCCATTAAAAAGGGCTTCACCTATGAAGAAATTAAATGAAACAAATGCCATTTTGATTCTTCACAAAAAAAAAAGCTCCCACACTGGATTTCAGTGCTTTTTGATCAACCTGCTGTAAGAGTCATTTTCATGCTTGGTTAAGCAAAGCAGTCTATCCAGAACACTCGCTGTCATGCTGGCCAGTGAGAGTTCCCATAACTACTTGTAGCCCCATGCCTGCACAAAGCAGGGATACCTGTGGATAACTGACACTCCCAACTTTTCTTTAGAATCACTTTCCTTATTCTCACCTTTGTAAGCAACAAGCAATGCAGCTGGGCTGCATTTCATCACCCTGGCCTGAGATGGAGGTGGGTTTTTTTTGCAACAAAAAGCACTTTTGGAAGTCCTGGCACGTCTCTGTGTTTTCTGTAAGCGTAACAACTTGTTTCATTAACTGCAGAGCTGACAAAAGCAAAGAATCCACCCATGATACCTAGATGAACAGGGGGCTCTCCACACTGCTAAGCCCAGGGTAGGCAAAGTGTGAAAAGATGAACCTTACTGTCAGCAGGTCTGAGGAAGAAGCAAGTCACTGCCCCATAAGGAACCTTATACTGGGCAAGAGGAACAAAACAAAGGGAGAAGCAGCTCGGCTACTGACATAGCTAAGATTAGCTTTTAGGCATCTTGCTCAGACTTTCATGTTTGATCACTTGTTCTAAACTGCTTGAAACACTGACTGATGAACAGTCACTGCATCCCACCTGCCAGGAGAAGCTTGTTTAACAGACCATCTTCGCTCCTTCAGAACCTTCATACTCTGCATCAATCAGAGCCTAATGCTAAAAAAGGAAGGTCCAAATAAAGGCACAGCATTATCATATGCAGATAAACAATTTTACCCCTACTAGTACTCAAATGCAGAGGAAATGAAAAGCCAGCATTCCTGCTGGCAAATAACCAAACAGGCAGCTTTGAACTTTTTTCAAAGTAGCTAGAAAAAGGCTTATGCAAATGAAATTAGAGAACTTCTTGGCAATTCATCTGGTTTCACCGAGGCAGAGACAAAGGGATTTTACATTAAGCTTCCTCTTTCTAGAAAATGAAAGTATCATCTGTTTTTAGAAAAGCATGTTGTTTCATTAGCACTTTTTTTTCCTCGCTGTGCGATAAAGTAACAATTAGGTTCCCACAGCATTCAACATAAGTGGCTTCCTCTTGTGGAAAAAAGATGTGGGTGGTATGGGAAAAACAATCTGAGAAATATTTCCAGGTTTGAGCGTGAGGTTTTATCCTGGCAAAGAAGGCAGACACGTGGGTCATGCATTGGCTTTCTCACCACTCTTATTTATGCCAAATGTGTACCAGGCACAAACAGGGAACGGGAAAAATAAAGGCAAAGAAAAGCTCCAATGCAGAAGTTATGGCTTTAAGCAGATAATAAAGAAGGACTAGAAAGCAGGATGCATGAAAAGTGAGTGGAGAACCGTAGCCACTGGCTTGCTAGTTGAGGGAGCACGTGAGCTGGAGGGATAGATGAAGTGGTTGTGTGTGAATATATCCTGAATTAAGCATGTTTGATAGGAGGCTTATACATGAAAAACAGCAGAGGACTCACAGATGGCCATCTGTCTTAGAGGTGGGACTCTTGGTTTCAAAAGCCTGTTTGTTTGCTTGCTTCATAAGGAAAACACAGGAAATGTGCTGGTAGAAGTGTAGGTGAGGTAAAAATTTCCCTTCTCTCACCTCTCCCCACTTTTCCTCTTAATCCTCACCTTTCAAAGAAGTTCAGCAGCATCAGTCCTGACCTGTCCCAGTGCTGTTGTGGAACTTAACAACTATCTCTCTGATTTTTATTAGGTCATGCAACCATACTACCAGAAAATCACAGTAACAGTAGGATTTTTGCTTCCACATTTTCCCAGGCCGTGAGTATTGATGCAAATGCAGATCACAGTAAATGTACATACATTTATCAACCTGATTGTTATTTGTTGCCCTCATGCTTGCTCTCACACACACCACATGCATGTACATATACACACACACAGAGGGCAGACTCACAGCTGACCTTGTTGTGAAGACTCCTCTCTCATCTATATTCTGAACAGCTCAAGAGCTAGATTTCTATAGGCTGAAGATCACTCTTCACTGTCACCTGGTGAAAAAAAAAGCTCCACCTGTGCTCAGTGTATGCTTGTTGCAAAGGCAAAATATACCTGCACAGTGTTGCTGCCCTCACCAGCCTTGAAAAATCATCACTTTGGAAAGCAAGCTGAACTTCAATAGCAAAGAAAGCATTTATGAGGACTGTAGCACCTTGCAAGGGATATCCTTTTCACATCTGCTATGACATACTGATCATTTTTTAACCCATTAGTTCTCCAAACAAGTTTGTAGAAGGGAAGCATTAGAAACGTGAGATGGCTCACTTCAGTTAGGAACTGAAGATCTTGCATGCAGCTCCAAGTGAGCATTCTTGCCCACTGTTCATAATTACATGGTCATGTACTGGCTTTCTTAGACTAGACCCACTCTGCAGAGATGCTGTTGTTATGGAAGGAAGGAGACTTGTCTGTTGGACCACTGCTTCTCTGACCATAGAACTTAAACAGTAACTGCTGATGGAACTCAGGAAACACAGGAAGGTTCAGCTATGACAGTTGGATGCCACTTTAGAAAGGGAAACTATCACCCTGAAGATACAGCCTCCAACTGGTGCCCAAAATCAGTGCTACTACTGATTTCATTTTGTGCCTGAATTCCTTTCTATAAAAGGGAGATAATAATACTTCATGTCACTGGGCTGTAGCAATGAATGTTTTGATGAAGTACATAACCAGAGGAAGACGATATTTCTGCACCCAGAACAGAGCACAAATACCGTGTTAAATTATATCTTCCACCTTCGGCAGTGAGAGACAGTGGTTCTAAGATCCAATTTTACAAGATCCAATTTTATTAAGACTATCATTATGCACAGACTTTCCAAAGGGTCCTCAAAAAATTTTCCTCCTGGCATTTCCTATCTTTATAGTCTAAATAATGTTATTTTAGCATGGTTTTGTATGCACGTTTGATATAATTCAATGATGATGGCATCACATGAGCTCTTTGAGGCTCCACGAGTAAAGTGGGACCCTTCAAAATCCACTTCACTGTCAAGACAGCAGAAAGGAAAAACAGAAACCTACAGACACGATGGACGCAGCACTGAATAGAATGGGAAAAGATGGCAGCAGGCATCCCAGAGCACAGACAAGAAGAGATCTTGGATTTCTCATTTGGGAACTGGAAGAGAGGTGACTGGTGAGACCAGACACTTGAATACAAGCTGGACCTCTTCCACCTTCTAACTTGACCCTCTAACTCTCATTCTCTCTCACTCGCTTTGGAGGAGGAGTGCCTTGGGGCAGTTTGACTCAACCTCTTGATTAGACTCTTTTGGGAAGAGGCCACAAAGGCCTCTCCATAGAAACTCTTGCATACACCCAGTACACTAAATTGTAATAGTATCACCCAAACACTCAGCACATAGTGTGGCACCAAACACTGAGCGTAGTGGGACTTTCCATAGAAAGTATTGTGAAACCAGTATTACAAGAGTTTAAGTTTATTTGGAGCACTAAAACACATCTTGGCACAAAGCAGAAATTTAGACTGTGTGATCAAGGCACTTAAGACTTCATAAGAACTGGGTTACTAATTTAGGAATAACTGAGCATTGCTCTGTGCAATTATAGTGGGGAAAAAAGGCCCTTTGCTCCTAAGTACATGCACCTTTGTTATTAAACATTGTTCTTCCTTTTATTTTGTAAAGAGAGCTGCTTTTCTTTGGGAGCAAAAATCTGAAGCCTCATCAGAGAATGGTAAACAGGCATTTCTTTGTAGCGAGGTTTTTCTGTACCTTTTAATGGTATATAAGCAAATACTTCAAGACGTCCCTGAAGAAGCTGAGCATTCCCAGCACCCTAACTTGCTAAAGTTAGAAGTATTCATTCCAAATCTTGAATGCCAATTTCAAAAATAATTTTTAAACAATCCAGCTATTTATCTAAGGATAAAGTTGACGCTAACTCTTGTCAATAGCCCCCAAGGCTTTCAACTGAGTGTTCTGCACCAAACAAAGAACTTGCAGATGATGACAAACAGCCAAACTGCCCAGTGGGCAAATATGTGAGAGAACACTGAATTTAGGTCAATTAAATGGGGAAAAAGAAACTTAACTTAGACGTTACAGCAGCTGTCTTTTCTTTTTTGTTTGTTTTAGTGTGGGTGTTTTTCTCTTAAAGAGATTGCCCAATGATCTAAAAATAAACAAAACAGGAACTCCACTTCTGCAAGTGAGAACTTCACTAAAGTAAGCACATGTTGCAATGTGGACTTGCTATGGGGAATGCAAAACCATTACTGTTAGGAGAATTTCTGGTATAAGAAAGGATGATCTCGTAGACTTTGAGGCAAAAGAAAAAGGAGAGAACAAGCTGAGACTTTGTAAGATGTTTAGCAGCAATAAAAAATAAGCCAAGGGAGGAATTCTTTCCTACAAAGTGAAGGTCCTACGCATTCCAAGACAGTTCTCAAATCTAATTATCTGAAGCCTACTGGCCATATATAGTTTTGAAGCCAAGAAATTAGAGTTCTCACTGTAACAGTACATGTTCATGCTGTGTTCAAAGGCTTAAAGACCACTCTGCAGAAGAACTTGCTTATTGTATGACAAAACCAGTGAAGGGCTCAATCAGCACCTAATTACCTTAAGAAATGGAAAGGCTGAGGGAACAGCCTTTGAGGTTGGAAAAGAGAAGGCTCCAGGGAGTCTTCATTGTGGCCTTCCAATATTTGAAGGGAGCATATAAACAGGAATGGATATGACTGTTCACAAGGGTGGATAGTGATAGGACAAGGAGAGGTTTAGATTAGATATTAGGAGGAAGTTTTTCACACAGAGGGTGGTGAAGCACTGGAACAGGTTGCCCAAGGAAGTTGTGGATGCCCCATCCCTGGAAGCATTCAATGCCAGGCTGGATGTGGCTCTGGGCAGCCTGGGCTGCTGGTTGGTGACCCTGGACAGAGCAGGGGAGTTGGAACTGGATGATCATTGTGATCCTTTAGAATCCATTCTATGATTCTAAGTAAGGTGGAAACAGACATGTATGTTATGTTCTAAGAGTATACTAAGGGTTTTTGGAGGAAACAAACAAGAGAAAAGAAAGATTTGGTTATTGTTAATGGAGCACAAAGATTCCCAGTGGGTCATTCTGCACAGCCCAGTGCCAACCAGACATACAAGATAAAGCAGCAGCGCAGTTCTGTACAGGACAAAACCACAGAATGGCTTGGGTTGTAAGGGTCCTTAATGAACACCCAGTTCCAATCTCTTCCTGTCAGCAGAGCTGGCACACTCTAAAACAGGTTGGTCTTGAGCACCTCCAGGGCTGGGGCACCCACAGCAATCAGGGCAGCCTGAGCCAGCGCATTACCACACTCTGTGTAAAGAAGTTCCTCCTTACATCTAACCTAAATCTCTCCTCTTTTAGTTTAAAACCATTCCCCCTTGTCACTATCAGACCATTTAAAAAGTCGGTCTCCCTGCTGTTAATGAGCACCCTTTAACTACTGAAAGGCTACAACAAGGTCTCCCAGGAGCCTTCTCTTCTCCAGACTGGAATTCAGTTTTGCTGTTAGGCCAGACCAACTCTGAAGACTGCACATGATTCAGGATGAAAAAAAACATGACTTGGATGTTACTTCATGCATGCATAACCAGGGCCTCAAGCTTTTATTATATTAATAAGGATATTTCCTCAACAGCCTTCCAAGGAGCTCATCTGCTACAGGAGAGCATTTGTGGATATTTGCTCACAAGTCCTACTGAGTACAAAATGGCTCATATGCTGAAAGTAGTGAGATGCATAAGCATCCATCATGTGATTAAGATCTAACCTGGAATATATAAAGCTAGCTACTGTAGGGATTTCAGTCTGTACTAAAGTCTCAGTGAGTAGTGTAAGTCAGCAGTTGTTTCTACTTTTGATTTCAATGCAGTTTTCAAGGAACTCTTTTCAAAGAGCTTTACAAGGGGCCCACTGCGTAAATACTGCTCAGATTCACTGGAGAGATGCAGAAGGCTTTGAAGAGGAGAGTGCCACTTTCATTAGCACCAGTCACATGCATTTATCCATCTTCTGGCTGTATGCAGCCTCCCATTCAGAGGAAATTTCTGCTTTTCCCTCTGTTCTTTCTTATACCTTCCCTTCCCAATCCCTTTGGTGGCCCCAACTCTGCTGATCAAACCCTGAACCTTGGGATGTGCCTGTGCAACCCCTCCTTGGCTCACGCACGGAGAGAGAAGCTGCGACCTCAAGGTGAGGGCAGGAAGCACAGCTGAGGGAGGAGGAGGAAGTTTGGACACTGTTTCTGCATAAACACTTGGAGGTGCCTACCTGCATGATGTCTTGGAGGCTTTCAGTGAAGGACAGCTCAGCCTCCACCATGTAGAACTCTGCCAGGTGCCGGCGACTCTGTGAGTTCTCAGCTCGAAATGTGGGGCCAAAGGTGAACACACGAGTAAAGGCCCTGAAAAGCAAGAACCAGCTACGTCAGGCCCAACAAAACAAGCAAAAAAACCCTATCCACAAGCTCACTTTTCTTGCATCTAGAAAGATCTAGAAATATTCATGCTTCCATTTTACCTTTGACCAGCTTAATGATGCTACTATGTACGTTGCAGCTACATTCCTTCAGTGTGGTGGGAAGAGGGGTTATCCGCAGCCCTATGACTAAGCAAGGTTGCATAAACCCTGTGCAGTTTTCACTGAACAACATTTACACCCACGGTCCATTCTGCAGTACCAGGTGAAGGGAGAAGCACGAAGACACCAGCCACGCTCCCCTCATCCATACCTCTTCACACTGCAAGGTCTGACATCTCTAGGTGCTATGACATCCCAAAGCACAGCAGAGAAGAGAGAGTCCTGCTGCTGATGCTACAGGACTGGTGTTAGCAGGATGAATGTATGCTGTACAGCTCGCAGTCTTCTCTAGTGACAGGATCAAAGTTTATCCCTGAAAGGCCTTTTAGGAGAATGGATGGAGCTCCTTCCAACCAGCTGAGAATGGTTCAGCTAAATGCAGTTCCTACAGAACACATCTGGGATAGCATCTTACACTGACGCAATCAGTGCATTTCCTATTATGAAGTTTTTCCTCCAGCAACCTTCTGGGAAGCCTAAGTGTCTCCCCTCCAGCCACGCTGAGTTGCAGGACAAAGGATACAAGGCCTTTTTGATGATCCCTTCCTAAAAATTCTTCGCAACACAGAGCAGTGCTCCTTTCAAATCTTACTTTAACTGTGCGGAAATTGCATTCCAAGCAACGTTTTTATACTGCAGGCTACAAGAAGGTGGGCTCCTGGACATCTTCTGCTCCCCAATCAGATCCCATGGCAGCTGTCTTTTCTGCCACACTCCAGGGGAGGCAAACCACGAATGGGGTAGAGACAGAACTGTTTCAGAAAAAAACATGGACTGGGCAGCAGGTCCCTTCAGTACACAACTAATTTGTCATTATTTTTAAGAGTTGACAATGTTTAGGGGAAAAAGGACACAATCAGTGGAGATCAGGCACAGTTTAACACCCATGAAAGGATGTGTGTTATTTGCAGGGTTTGGCATTTGACTTGTATCTTCTGCAAGCTTTCTGCTCAATGAGGATGCTTACTAGGGATTTTGCACAAGTTAATTTTGTTAAATTGAAATTTAAACAAAAAAATGCTACTAAAAAGCTATGTTTTTCCTATACCCTTGAAGGAGGCATCTGTGTGGCAAACAAAGACACATGCATGTTTTGGTTCACTCATCTGTTCTCTCATATCACATGACAGATAAAGGCTATGATCAAAAACAGCAGCACTTTCTTCTTCCTTGAGCTGTTACTTGTATACACATTAGAAAACAGTTCCTGGCCAAGATTTCAAGTACACAGCCTGCCTGTAGGCTTATTCTCCCTACTGGCTGTGCTTTCTCCATTCAAACAAATACAGTTTGTCTGCTTTCAGAAACCACAGCTCCCGCTCCTGAGCTCTGACTCCATACATGACCACAACATCTCTGATGCTAACACCAGATTTTGCAGCAAATCCTTTTATCCAGGATCCCTTTCAGCATGCTTCTTTCCTCTGTGCTTGATAGGACATTATTGTGAACTTCTGCCCTGCCTTGATCGTCCTCCTTCAAACTGTCCTATGCTACAGTGCCTATAAAAACCCCAGTGATGTTTGGATAAGTGATATTCCAACACCATTGCTCACCACACTGGTCAGTATTACCTCATCGGTTCCTTGTGCTCTCCCATCTGGAGCCATCTGTTGTCTCAGGTTCTAGAGAAATGCATGTTCTTCCTCACACCACTTTTTTTTTTCCTCTCCATGTTCCTACAGCACCTGGCACAACAAGGTCTTGGATCCAAAGCTTAAAAGTCTCAACTGCTATAGCAATACAAACAACAAACATAAAACAATGACTCACTCGGCCAAAATGGTTTAATGCTTAAGGCTGAACTGGTCAAAAACTTGCTATGGAGCTTCACAGGACACAGAGGCTGGCCTGCAGTGGGAAGCAGGAGCTAGACACACATTTCTCAAGGCACAAATCACTGACATATAATTTGGTGCAGGACACTGTAGCAGATTACAGACTCCAGCAATACAGACTATTGTGAGTACTCTGAACTGTCCTTATTTCTTACTCGACAGCAGCTCAAACATGATGTCTAGTTATTTATCTTCCAAGGGGCTCACTGACTGCAGGCCATCTGAAAAAATAAAAAATAAGAACAACTATTGCTCCAGGATGTCAAGTGTGGTCAAACACTTCACAGCCACAGATGGATTTTGCACTGCTAGAGTAAAGCCTCTCTGTGCCAAACATTTTGGGGAGGACAAGTGCAGAACAGCTCTCTCAGAACACTGATTCCAGCTTCTTCTCAGCTCTAGCCACCCTGCTGGGACCAATCTTCTCTAACAAGTACACAGAGTAGCACCTACATGGATAAAAAACATCAGCCCTGAAGCTTCATGGACTATTCAAGGTGCTCAACAACAGCAACAATAAGGATGTAAGACTTTACACAAATGCAGGCTGTACAAATCTGACCTCAAATTGTTCTTCAGCTGCTATTAAGGAACATGTCTGCAGTATCATAACGAGCATGTATAAATACATTAGAAAGCAGACACTGGAGCTGGTTCTGCTTCAATGTTATGGTACCAAGGGCATTTTGTTCTGTATGCATTTGACACCTAGCATAATGGAGCCTCAGTCCAGGGCTGTATCTCCTATGCCAATATCATTTACATTCCCAAACCTCTGCAAGATTTTCTCCAGCATTTAAAAATGGCTTGAAAATATTGGCTCAGACTCCAAAATGTGCCTAGGTAAAAAAAAAAAAAAAAAAAAAAAGCAACAACAAAATGAACAACAATCTGTTGAGCCCTTTGCTTTATCCACTTTGCTTTATCCACAGGCAGAGCAGTATAATGTCTGGAATGCTAGCTGTCCTTTCATCTGCTACAACAGTATAGAAGAGAGGTTTTGAAATGATTCCCTTTGCAGCCAACTTGACCCAGAGCTCCAGATCAGAGCTCTCTGGTCAGCAAGTCCGAGTGCATTTATTCAGTTCCCAGATGCTGCTGGGGTTAAAAACAGGAAGGTAGCACAGAGCTGCTTAATTAATCGCTCCCCTTCTGGGACAGTATATTCCCTATCCAGTTTCCTGGGCATGCCTGAGAATTTAAGCAGGAGGCCAAGAGAATACCCACTATATTCCCCAACAAAATACAGGGCCCCATCCTGCAGAAAGCTGAGCTTGCAATCCAGCCAAGAGCTCAGGTGTCTTCAAGGTGCAGGCTCACAGGAGTCCCTCTGAAAGCAGAAATTCCTGCTTGGGTGCACTGCTGGAGTACTGCCCTCCTCTGCACTGAAGGACACCTAGGGGAGGCTGTGTTTGTGATCTCCACCTGTAAAATATCCAGGAAGGGAGAAACTTCTTCCTCCTGCAAGCTTACACATTACTAAAACAATCTACAGTCTTCTCTCCCATGCAAAGAACTTTACAGCATGCAGAACGAAAACTCATTTCATTCAAACTGGTTGATAATTCATTAGTAAAGCACTGATAGAAATCAACGGAGAAGTACAAAGTATCTGTGCCCAAAGCTGCTTGAAATTGTCCTTTTAATTAAACTCACACAATGTTTGTGGGCCTGAGCATCTCTGCCTTCCTGGCAATTTTTACACTGCAATTCAAATATAATTAATTGTGCTGATGGTTCCCAAGCCAGAAGTGGATTGAGCTGCTTTTTCTGAGCCAGGACTTCATGCTGTTACTGCAGTAATAAAGACTTATTTGTGCAGTCGAACCAAGGGGATCTAACTCTGAGCAAGGCAATTAATCAAAAAGATGCAATTCCTGTGCAGTCAGCTTACAGCCTATGCCAAGGTCACACCACACACTGGTGACACAGCTGGAGACAGAAGCTGGTTGTTGTGACTCAGGGCTAAGCACTAAACCACACCAGCATGCAGCTATTTATTTCTTCAGAGCTCTCATTCTCATCCCAAAATACTACAGGTGCCTGCTTAACCCAAAATACAGCAATGACATACCAGGTCTATGGGCAGGAATTCAGCTGGAAGGTGATTTGTGCCAATTCTTATCTGTGGCCACAGTGAATGACCCTTCAAAACAATGTATTCCACCTCATATTCTTCCACAGGACCCACCCCTTGATATACATTAAAATCCTGATTGCAAGAAAATCTAGAAGCAATAGGTTGTACTTGAAGGGTAAAACAACACGTAACATCAGCAGAGGAGAGAGAAGAGCAAGGTGACCGTAAAGATGAGGAGTACAGCTTTGTCAACTACACTGTCCTTTCCTTTGGAAAGGGAAGAAATCACTAAAGCAAGCTGTCTGATGAGCAGACAGATTTGCTCTGCTGCCAGGAGCCATCACTTGGCTGCAACACTTGACCCAAACACAACTGGGATATTCAGGCATGTTGAAATATGTATGTTGAAAAGATGTTGTGGCCCGATACAAGAAGCTGTATGCACAAATATGACCATTCAAACCTATCAATCCAATATCTCCAGCTTCTTGTTTTCAGAGGGGCTGGAAACACTGAGCTCCTAAAGATGCTGGGAAGGTAGGTACAGGTGCTCAGCAGTTTGAAGAACCTGTGGTTCTGGGACAGTGTTTTACATCTTTGATCTGAGTGGACTTTGTTAAAGAGAAACCTAAGAGTTGGACAGAAGTATCTGTTTTTTAACCTCAATGTAAAACTAATATTCCCACGACTGTTGTTTGGTGGTTTGGATTTTATGCAATCAAAATGTTCATGCTTTTGCTGAAAAGTCAGCGAGAAGAAACATGCATTTTATCCAGAAAAAGAAGCAGAAAAAGGAGTTTTAAAGGATTCCTCATAGAACGTGCCACTTCCACCTGCCCGTGAGGAAAAGCCGCATCTTGACAGGGGCTTTTACAGCAGCCTGTGAGGCTCAGGCCTGGGCAGCAG